GATAATTGATAATTATAACTGCTGTTGATATGGATAATGATTTTTGACATGACAACTTCTTAGGCCAGTAACATGTATATTCCAGTTACACAATGTGAGCGAGCGAGAGAATATCAGCTCCCTCCAGGGCACTACCGAGCTCTGGCCACACAAGGATACATGTGGGGTCTTCTGGTAAAACCCATACAAAGACTTCTCTAGTGGAGTTTGGGTCACTCACACTAAACAGCTCAGAATGTAAAGTGGGCTGTAGACAATACAAACAACCAGGCACATAAGAAAAAGTAAAATTCTGAGAGAAAAACAAAAGAGATACACTCTTGATGGTGAGGCACACTAGCTGAGACCTCACAAGCTCTTAAGTTAGAAGTTTGGGAAACTTTGTTCCCTAGACAGATTTTCCCGATGGATCCTCTTTTTTCTCAAAGAAAAATCTTCTCCCAAGAATTCCCCTGCAATGACTCTTTGGATTGGAAAAAGGAAAAACAAACTGTTGTTTGTAGAAGTATGTACCATACAATGACTATTTGCATATGCGTATGTTTCTTCTCCAGTTTCCTGAGAACAATAGGAATTCAGTCCTACCCATGATGATATTTTTTTTAGGATTTATTTATTTATGCATACAAGGACTGGGGTACAGGCCAGAGGTGTGGGGGGGGGGTGAGAAGATTCACCAGAGACAGAGTGGAGAAGAGAATAGGCAGATTGCTGAAATACACTGGTGAGGGAAGCAGCGGGTGAGTCAGGAGGGGTCTGCTGAGCCTTGTAGGTAACTCCCTGGCAGTGATCGAACTCGTGCTGCAATGGCTGTGGATAGCTTCAGAGGTTGTGTCTTGACAAGGGAGGGTCCCATGATGTAGTAGTCTGGTTTCACATCTCAGGTGGCTTTTTCACTTTAGAAATAATCGTTAAATGGGTTTTTAACCATAACCATAAACTGTGCTATTGATTATAAATGCCGTTGTTTCATTTGATAGCAGTAACAATCCTGGTGGATTTTGTGATCATGCCCATTTTACAGATAAGGAAATTAAGCCCTCAAGACTTCTGACTTTGCTCAAGTTCACACAGCTAGTAGGGGTTAATTCCAGGGAATAAAACTGGGATTTGTCTAATTCCATAACCCAAGATATTAGCTACCATACATCTTAGCCCATAAATTTTTAAGAACTTTTCTGACTAAAGAGCTAATTAATATTATGAAATGAGTTTCTCTTGTAATACTATTGTACATTTATCAAAAGCAACATGTGCAGTGGAAAGAAAACTAAATTGGAAGTTTGAGGATTTCAGAAAGTTTTTCCTGTTATGTACAACTTGGCCTGGGTTTTGAAAAATGAATAGGGATTTACTTGGCATGTGGAGATAAAACTGGAGGAAATAGTTCATTATGTTATTTTAATTTATCTGCAAGTAATTTTTTATCAGTTGTCAATTTTGGGGGGGTACATCTCAGTGAATCTTAAGTAAATGACTTAACTAATCTCTGTAAGTTCTTCACAAGGGTTTTACTGTTGTGTATCATTGTGGCAGTTGGTCATCCAACTCCATAGTCTCCCACCCTTGAGTCTGGGCTGTGTCTGTAATTTGCTTTTGACCCATAGAATACAACAAAACTGATGCTGCAGGACGTTGGAGGTAAGCCATAGACATCTTATATTCAACAGTTTCCACCTCAGTTTTTGGGGGTGATCACTTTTGAAGCCAGTCATCATGTAAGAAATACAACTACTTGGGCCATTCTGCTATGAGAAGCACCAGCCACATAAAGATGCCCTGTGTTGGTGCTCTGGTTGAAATCTCAGCTAAGCTTTCACTGAATAGCCTGCATCAGCTGCCAGGCATGTGACTGAGTCAGTCATCTTGGGCAGCCCAGTATACTCCCCATGACTACAACTGCTGCAGTCACCTGATTGCGGCATAGTTGAGAGATTCTCAAACATTTTCCTACTACCACCCAGGAGAAGAATGTTCTGGTGTGGGGCAGTCTCCCATGCATAATACCAGAGGTGTGAGGAGCATACCAGAGACAGACTATGGCTTCCTATGCTTCCCAGTATTATTGCACTAACTTATTATATGTGATTTTATATTGTTATAACATTGACCATGAATCTAATCCAATTTATTTAAAAAAAATCACTTACAGATTGTATTATATTAGCCATTACTGGAGACATGTTACTTGCTCCAAACCTTTCAGCTAATACCAACAAATATGATGCCATATCAATACTGGACTGCTAGAGAATCATTTTTCCACACTATTACCTAAATTTATGTAAATTGTCCAATAATGGAATATTCTTTTAATGTCCATACAATGTCCTCCCTTCCATTTCATTCCTAACATTGCAAATATGTATCATCTCATTTTTCTTTGACCAGTTTGTTTAGGACATGAATCAAATTTGTGAACTTTTTTTCAAAGAAATAATTCTGATTTTGTTGACTTTATTGTTTGTCTGTTTTTACTATTGTTAATTTTGCCTATTATTTTCTTCTTTCTCCTCATGCTGAATTTAATTTTTAGGTTTTCCTAATTTCTTTTTTTTTAAAGATTTATTTATGCATACCAGAGCTCTGGTACAGGCCAGAGATGCAAGGGGGTGAGAGGACTTACCAGAGACAGAGTGGGGAACAGAACAGGCAGACTGAGTGAAATACACTGCTGAGGGGAGCAGCGGGTGAGACGGGAGAGGTCTGCTGTGCCATGTGGGTTGCTCTTTGGCTGGCTGGGAATCGAACTCATGCTGCCCTGGTTTTTCTAATTTCTTAAGGTTGAAAATTAAGTAGATGTTTTTAGGTCATTCATTCCTAATCCAAACATTTTAACACTAAAAGTTTCCTCTAATCAGTGATTTACCTGCATTCCACAAATTCTTACATGCTGTGTTTTCTACTCTCATTTGACTCAAAATAACTGAGTTTTCCTATGGGAGAGTAAGACCCATGGATTATTAAAATGTGTTGTTTAATTACCAGGTGTTAGGAATTTCCAGTTATCTGTTATTGATTTGTAGTTAAATTCCATGCTAGTAAGGAAAGAGTTTGCATGATTTTTGCCTTGTTTTAAATGTATGAGACAAGCTTTATAACCCAGAATGTTGTGTATCCTGGTGAACAGTCCATATGCACTTGAAATAATGTACTCCACTATTGGGTGGAGTACTTTAGAAATGTCAATTCAATCACATACATTGATACGGTTATTTCAAGTTACCTATCCCTGTACTAGTTTCCTTTCTACCTGTTCTATCAATTACTGAAAGTGTTGAGACCCTCATAATTGTGGACTTGGAACATTTCTCTATTGGTCCTGTTTTAGCCCATTTTGAAGCTCTGTTTTTAGGTATATAAACATGTAGCATTGTTAGATATACTTGATGAATTTTTATCACAATGAAATGTGCCTCTTTACCCATGAATATTCCTTATTATAAGCCTATTTTGTCTGTATTAATATTACCACGCCTGCTCTTTTTTTCAGGCTTATTGAGGTATAAATTACCAATTTGAAATGTATAAATTGGTAAGTTTTGAGAAATATATGCAGTTATATAACCATCATCACAATCATGGTCTACAACATTTCTATCACTCCAAAAGTTGCCTTCTACCCTTGTGAAACCAAACTACTCTCTCATCCCTGCCATCTGATATCCTTTTTGTCTCTAACATTTTTGCCTTTTTCAAGTGTTACCTAAACTGAATCACAACAGTATTTGTTTGGGTTGGGATTCTTTGACTTGGCCTTATGAATCTGAGATTCATCTCATTTGCTAGTTTGTTCCTTGTTCCTTAGTAGTATTCCCTCGTGTGGATGTACCACAATTTGTTTATCCATTTATATACAGAATAACATTTGGGTTTCTTCCAGTGTGGAGGATATACAGGTGAACAGGATATCCTGTTCACCAGGATACACAACATTCCATTACGAACGACTACAAACTTTGAGTATAACTTTTTAATGGAAATGTATTTTTATTTCTCTTGGGTAAATATCTCTGGTGTTGCTAGAGCACATGGTAAGGTTAATATTTGAGACCTAATATTTGAGGCCTTGGGCTTTCTTTCTTTAACCATCATGCTTTGATTAACATTCTAATCTCCCAACAGTTATGAAATCTTGTCTTCATACTGAACACCATATTAGATAAAAGAGGAATGCTCAACAAAACCGCAACATCTGTAGATAATTGATAATTTTGTAAATAGAAGCAGGTAAAGGAAAAATGTCAAAAAAATCACAAATGAAGTTCTGATCTTGAGTCTATTTTGAGAAGTCAAACTTTTTTTTTAGATTAGAATAAATAAGTCTTTGAAAATGTCAACACGTGAAACTATGAACGGAGCCCAAATTCCTATTTAGAAATTCATGTATGCAATTCAAACATATTTCAACCATTTAAGCACTTTAATTGGCGGAAATTACTTCTTAAGCGTACGGGAGTTTCCTTTACAAACCCAAATGTTTACTGTGAATTTCATCTGGGACTCGATAGATGGCTTGTTACTTAATTCGTCTTTGCGACCGACCTCAGTACGCATTGGATACTAAAGTGGCTACAATTACCTGTCCACCCCAGTTTCTGATTGTGACTGAGACAAGAAGAGAACGCCTAGGAGTGAAAGCTAAGCAGGTAAACGGGCGCGTTTGGTTGGCAGAACCTGACATTTTCACTGGCCCTACCCGTGCGGGCCGCGGCTGCCTTTGACAACCGTGGGAGTCAGAAACAAAACGTAGCGGAGAGAGGGGGCCGGGCTCTGCTAGGCAGCGCGCGACGACGCCCCACCCTTGGCCTTCACCCAGAGGCACACTAGGCGCACCGCGGCGGGGCCACGCCAACGCCCCCGCGGCCCCCAGCGCGCCCCGCCGCCGGCCGGCAGGTGTGCACGGTGCGCGCGCGCGCAGTGCGTGTTGGGTGCGGGTCCGGCGGGCGCGCTGGCGGCGGGGCGCCTAGCGCAGGGTGCTCGGCTCGGTGGGTGTTGGCCTCGCCGGCTCCCCGCCTCCTTCCTCTCTGTCTGGACGGGGATGCTCTGGCGCGGCGGCCCCTCGCCTGTAAGCTCGCGGCCCCGGGGGGCGGCGTGTGTGAGTAGCGGGGAGGGGGCCTCCAGGCGCTCCGGGGAGAGCGCGCCCGGGTTTGTCCGCTGCCGTCACCTGACTCGCTGGAGCAGCCACAGCTGAGGTGGGGGCGGGGATGGGGACGCAGCGCCGAGTGCTGGGGAGACGCGGCGGCGCTGGTGGAGGCGGGTTCTGGCTCTCGGGGCCACCAGCGGCGGGCGCAGGGACCGCGGAGTGGAGGGCGGGGGCCGGGCCTGGGCAGGAGTGTCGCGCCCCGGGACACCGGGTCCCCCTGCAGCCGCGCACACCCACCCGGCGGCGGCTTCCCGCGGCGGCTTCCCTCGGCGGCCCAGGCTGCGCTCATCCCGCGGCGGACGGCGCCGTGCCCGGGGCGGGGTGAGTACCGGCGACCCGGGGCTCGGCCCCCTCCCCCGTGCCAGGGCCGGGCTGGGCTCCGGAGAGGATGATCCTCGGGCGCGGAGAAAGGCAGCGGCTGGGTGACAGCTCCGCGCCGCGCTCGAGGGCGGGTGGAGGGCTGGGCTGGGCTGTCAGCCTGTCTGCTCCGCTGCCAGGAAGGGCGAGGCGCTCGGAGACTCGGGCGCCTCCGCAGAGCCCCGGGCGGCCCCTGCGGCGGGGATTTGGGGGCGAGGAAGGCGGCCCGGGAAGGCCCTCGGCGGGGCTTTGGAAGCATCAGCGAGGAAGGAAAGGGAGGCGCGGGCATAACATGGCGCAACGCTAGGATAATCCTCACCACCAAGGGAGGACGAGCCCCATTACTGCAGCAGCGCGAGGAGGAGGAGGGAAGCGGTCAGGGCTTGGGTATCCTATCCATTTTCCGAAGCCTGCGAACTGCTGGGAGGAAGCGCTGCTCCCGGGAGGTGGACTCCTGGTGGGCACGGCATCCAGGGCATAAGCCCGAAACACGCTGGAGCTGGTCTGGCACCTGGGAATCAGGTTGCAGAGAAAGTGCTGAATGTTACCGGGGGGCGCCGGAAGGGTGGGACGGGGTTACTGTCACGATGCTGGGACCGGAGCCCGCCCTGGGGTTCCGTGACGACCCCCCCCCACACACACACACACCTCCATCCAGACAGTCTAGACCGCGTCGTGGGAGAGGGGCTCAGCGCGTCGCTGGCACCGAGAGGTGCAGGGCGGGGACCGCGGAGGAGAGAGCCGCCGTGCGGCTGGAGGAGGCAAGGCCTGGGTACGCGGAGGGTAGGGTCTGCAGGTTAAAGCAGGACCGTATCTTCTTTCCCGCAGAAGAGGAGGCGGTAGACGCGGCCGGAGAAGATGTCGGGCCAAACGCTCACGGATCGGATCGCCGCCGCTCAGTACAGCGTGACAGGCTCCGCTGTGGCGAGAGCGGTCTGCAAAGCCACCACTCATGAAGTGATGGGCCCCAAGAAAAAGCACCTGGACTGTAAGCATCTCTTTATATAAGTGGAACATGCGCACGGCAGAGGCGCCCTGGATGCCAGCGGCGCGGCCTGGGCTCCCTGTAGATAATGCTGCAGCTTTGGCAACTCCGGGTTGGGCAGCCCCTGGGCTTGAAATTTCCAAGCTTGCAGGTGTCTCCTTGGGTTAGCCTGCAACTGTCCTTGAGCCATTTTTATTTCTTCTGCTGATTTCCAAGGTCTTGATGGGGGGGGGGGGGAGTGAGTGTGTGTGTGTGTGTGTGTGTGTGTGTGTGTGTGTGTGTGTTTTACTATAAAGATACCCAGGAATTGCACATGCTGGGTTAGGCACTTTTTAACTCTTTTTTCCTTTCCAGGTTAGAGGAAATTAGAGTTGCACAGTCATAACCAAAAATAAATAAATAAATAAAGAGGGATTCGTGGAAGGTCAAATTTGGCACCCTAGATTCCTTAAATACATTTTGCATAGTTTTTAAATAGTGTCTTCTTTTTCAGTATCACTGCTGAGATTTTGTGTGTGTATGTGTGTGTGTGTGTTGTAGGTAACCATATCACATTGAAACAGAGTCCAGCAATTCTATGTGGAAATTGCACTTCATATGATGGTGATTTCATTTTACACATCCTGACACACTTCTTTGTCCCTTTCTCGGAAACTGCAGGGTGGAATGACTGTGCTGTGGTCAAAAAAAGATGTACTTTCCCAGCTTTTGAGAGGTGCAGTTTTGAATGAAAACAATTTATGACATGTTTCTTTAATAATGGTTATTTGATGGGAAAAAGACTTTAATCTAGTTAGAAATGTATTTCTGACATAAATGTTCCGTTTGATTTAACATAGTAAATTTTTGGTTGTTGAAGGACAAATTGGGACACTTAGAATAAGGCTTTCACGAGCTTTGGGTAGTGAGGTTCTTATAAGTAAGGCTACATCAGAATAGTTGCTCTGGTTGCTTTTAAGGCTTTTTGAGTTGCTCAGGATCTGCCCTGTTATGGTGTTTATCAGTAAAGAACAGTGTTGGTATGAGAGACACAGGTATAGCCATACTCATTTCCCATTTGGCTTCCTTTACCCATTTCTGGTTTTCTTTTGCTGCAGGCCCTCTACAGTGTCTGCCTCATGCAGCTAAGAAAATGGCAGCAGTGTTAGAATTGACTTTAGTCCCATTATCTGTATAAGCAAACCTTGATGAAGCTTACAGCTGCATATTACTATAAGGGTTATCCAGCCTTGTGTGCCTGTCATCTCATAAAATTGAATAATTTTGATTCTAGATGCTTGTCTGATGAGAAAACACCATACTCCTTTCCTGAGGGACTGTTTAACAAAATTGGTTGATTATAGTATCGTGTTATATTTGAGAGAGGCCTCCAGGGCCAGGGCACCTAACAGAAGTAGAGATTATAAATTCATGACCAGCTCATTTTGCTGCAGCATGCTGAATCATTTAGCCATCTTTCTATCAGTTTCCCCAACTCTGGAGCATGACTCATGTCTTCAAGGTATGTGTCAGTCTAACAGATCTTCATAGTATGAAAGAGAGAGGTTATAGTTTTGCTAAATGCTAGAAAGTGCAGATCAATACATTTCAGAGACTATTCACAGGTTGGAGTATTTCATTAAAACATTATTCAGATAAATTTTGACTTTTCCATCTCAGACTGTTTAGTCACATTGATCTTGCAGCTCTGAAAAGGTCATTTAATAATTTTCAAGGTGGGAGATTTTATCTTATGTCTCTAGCATGCTAACAATTGGGGTGCTATTGAAGATATGGAATATAGGAAGATTCTGTGTTTAAAGAAAGCAGCTGAGTAGGAACTTATACTGAAATATTAATATCAATAACCATATGAGCTAAACTTTCATTGAGCAGTTGCTATATGCCAAATTCTAAGCTTTGCATTATTAATTTATCACTGCTTAACAGATTCAGGGAGGTAATTAACTTTTATAGCTTTTAACCACTACGCTTAATTGTTATCTGTGGTTTATTTAGTAATACTCTCTATTAACAGAGTGGGGGAAAGAAATATATTAGTCTTCATGGTCAAGTCATCAAAACACCCATCCTGTTTGTATGACATTGTGTGGAACTGAGCTCTGTAACCAATTGCAATCTCTACAATATGCATGAAGAATTGTGTAATTTAAGCAAATGAGCAAAAGACAAGAACTATGGAGTACATTTTTTTTTATTTTTAATATTTTACTTTTCCAACAAGTCATGAAATAAGTGATCTTTGTTTAAAACCAATTTGGGGGTAGAATTTGGAAAGACAGAGATAACATTACTAACATATCCTACTTTCTAAAAAGATGATATATGAAATCTGAACATATGTTATATGTATAGAATTGTAAGAGAGCAGCTTTGCTCAGAATTCTTCTTGATGTTCCTTTAAGTAACAGTAGATTGCTTTAGTGACTTATTCACAGGCTTTCAATAACATACCAGTTATAAAAAGCAAGTCACGCTTGTTATTAAGAGATGCAAATACATAACCAAGTTTCTCTACGAGCACTGAAGCATTAACTAAGAACTCAGCACTAGAATTAAGTAGTTAGTATTTCAGTGTTGAAAATATTAAATACTATTAGAGAGGAAAAGAGCACATGTATAATTATGGATTTGAAACCAAAAGAAATTCAATTTAAACCAAATTAATTTTAATTCATTTGCTTTGTGTATAACTTTTCAGGTTAGAGTTTAGATTGGAAAATTATAAGAAGAGAGTTCATGGTTCTGTGATTTTTTTTTAAGGTAACAGGTTAATTTATGGATTAAGAATCCTTATGATATGTGCATTTAATATTATTTAAAGTACTGGTTTAAAAGATCATTTTTTACCTTTAGGTTGATGGGTGAAGAAAATTGTTAATTATAGTGATTTATAAAATGATGCTTAATGGTAATAATGCATACATTTAAAGAAATGATTTGTCAACATCTAGGAACAGAATTTACATGGTAAGAAGGTGGAGATAAACTCTAGACATAGTCTCAGATTATTTTTCCATTTTCTTTTTTTTTTTAAAGATTTATTTATTTATACAAGAACCAGGGTACAGGACAGATGTGGGGGAGGGTAAGAAGACTCACCAGAGACAGAGCGGGGAACAGAACAGGCAGACCAACTATAATACACTACTGTATTTTTCCATTTTCTCAGTGACAGTATGTTTCTTGAAGAGAAATATATTCAGAAAAGCTTTACCATAATCAGCAACTGTATATTGAATTTAAAGGATATGGCAACTTTAATAATCTAGATAAGGATTCTATATTTCAAGGTACTTCTGGAGCAGGTTAAAATATTTATTCCATCCTTCCCTATAGTAATGTTGCTCTTTGCACATGAAAACTAACCACTTAGCAGTGTTACTTTGACATTCTGGTCCATCTGCACATCCTCTCTTCCTTTTCCATGTACCTTTGTATACCTATTAGATAGCACATAAGACATCCAAGGATTAGCAAGCATTGACCATCTTGATTACAACTGTTTTACGTTTTATTTGCTTTCCCTTTTCTATTTTGTAGTTGATGGCCTAAAGAATAACCCAAGTCATATTATAAGGTAAAAAGATCCCATAAGACCCCCAGTACATACCCAAGTGCAGTGTCAAGGTTAAAGAACAGCAAAAAAGAGCTGGTCAAAGGTAACATCTGTAGAGGGAATCTTAGAAAGTTTATAGCCCTGGTATATGATTCATTGTGATGATAACCCCTATTAATAATTTCTATATATGCTATATTATTAAAATACCCTATTAAGATGATCAAAATTCAAACTTAGTCATTACTGTTATCAAACCAAACATTATGCAAAGTCAAATTGGTTGTTAGTAATCCTGTTGTTTCCCATTCTAAACCTCTTGGCGTTTTCATGAGCTTACCCCACAACATAAGCAATTCAAGTTATATTTCTTATGTTTGAAAGATACTATCATTTTATAAATGGTTATAAATGGTTCTTCCCAAGTTAAGAAAAAAATAAGGTTGCATTTCTTATAAAAATAGCTGATAAAGGGTCTCTTCAGTGGTGCAGCGGTTGAGCGGCGTGCTGAGTAACTGTCCGTAGCCTCTGCAGTGCTGGTTCGATCCCCACCAGCCAGCAAGGGTCCCACATGGTGCAGCAGACCTCTCCTGCCGTGCCTGCTGCTCCCCTCAGCAGTGTACTTCCTCAGTCTGCCTGTTCTGCTCCCTGCTCTGGCTCTAGTGAATTCTCTTACCCTCCGGTGCTTCTGACCTGTACCCCAGTTCTTGTATAAAATAAATAAATCTTAAAAAAAAATAGCTGGTAAAGACAGTGGGAAATATACACTTTGTTTTGTTCAAGGCAAATATTGGAAAATTACCACAAAATTCTTGTTGCTTTAATTTTATGTATAAAATATCTTCAAATGAAGAAATTTTATGAGTAAACAGAATAAAAATTTAATTCTAAAAGTTTAGTTGCTTGCATAAGTTTGCTTAATATATATAAACAGTTTGATTTTATATATACCTTTATAATATCTTTTTTTTTAAAAGATTTATTTATTTAATTTATTTATACAAGCACTGGGTACAGTCAGAAGCGCGGGAGGGTGAGAGAATTCACCAGAGCCAGAGCGGGGAGCAGAGCAGGCAGAAGGACCAAAGTACACTGCTGAGGGGAGCAGCGGGTGGCAGAAGAGTTCTGTGCGCCATGTGGGACCCTCCTCTGGTGGCTGGGGAGCAGCCGGGGATCAAACCTATGCTGCAGAGGCTGCGGGCAGCTTTGCAACCCAGCGCTCAACTGCTGTGCCACCGGGGAGGCCCTTTATTTATGATATCTTAATAGAACTTTCTATAGTGCTGAGATCCAAAAAGTAGGCAAAGTATTGAATAAAATTAATTGGAAAAATGTATAAAAGTTTACTGAACACTGAGCTAACTTTCAATATGAGAAGTATACTAATTTGCATAAAAGTATTTTGCTGTGTTTGCAGTTGTTCTCATTTAACTATTATTATCTA